AGTATTTTCAAATGCTTCAAGTTGTACAATGAATATGGAAGACTAAAGAGAGTTGTAGAGTTGGAGAAGAGTATTTAATGCTAACGAGCAAACAGATCTGTCTTAGAGAAAGTGAAGCCAGCTTGCTCCTTACAGGTAAATAAGGATGGTGAAACCACATCGTACATGTTTTCAGGCTAGTGCTTGGGAAAAAAACATTTGAAGAATATACAAGGGGAAAAAAAATTCTATAAATATGGAAAGAAAACAAAGAATCAGCAAGCTCATTTGTGTACAGTGTGGCCTGATCAGAATCTCTGATGGTTCCCTGCCATTTAAGTAGCCCTGCTGGTGCAGTGTGAACCCACCAGATCCTCTGTGGGATAGAAATGACCTAGTGATCTACAGCATAGGAAACCTTATGGGTAGTTCCAGTCTGTCCTATAGGGTGATACCAAGTCAGAATTTATTCAATAGCACCCATCAACAATTGTGTCACTTAGCCAGAGAAACCACCGACAAGCCAGGCTGACACCCTGCTCTGCTTCTCCACCAACAATTCCCTGTGGCCGGGTCCCTGCCCCCACGTCAGCCCACCTCCTCAAAAAAGCACACTGTGCTCCACCATGGAAGAGTTTAGTGATTCTTAAAAAAGTTGAACATATGATGGCGAGGCCTGAATGGAGGTGTACTGCTAACCAAAAAGCCAGGCCTCTCCAGCAGTTTAAATCCACCAGCTGTTCCGTGGGAGAAGGATCTCCCCTAGACGTCTACCCTCAAACTTTACAGCCTGCGAAAAAAAACCCCACAGTACAATCAGCTGCATCATTTCCCACTCAACAGCAATGTGTTTTGAGTTTGATAACTGCACCAACAACAAAGGATGAGAGTCTGAAAAGTAGCAAAAATGGGCACATAACTTGAATATAATCAATGTCAGTGAAGTGAATGTGTAGAAAATAATTAAATGTTGTACATATATGGAAGAGATAATTAAAATTTTTTGAAAGCACACACTATGCCTGTTGCCTAATGTTTACCTCATACTTGCCCAGCAGCAGTAACCTGCCAAATTGTGTGATGCTGACCTGGCTCCCCATCTCATTCACCAGACTAAAAATGCCAGGAACTAATGCCTATCGTGGGCTATGCTACTGAAAGCCCTCACCACACACTAAAGGGAAAAAAAGAGGATGTCCTGGAGACACAGAGTGGGAAGACAGGGAGCCGTGGAGTCTGCGAGCCAGAAGGAAAGCTGAGAAGAGGGAAAATGCTGCTGCTGAGGGTAATCTTGAGGTCTCTGCTCAACTCTGAACTACTGTCTCCTTAAGGGTTACTACAGAAAAAAACCACAGGGGTCACACTACCTTCAAGTTCAGCTGAATATTAAGGATCGAATCCCTATCAATCTTTCCAGGTTTTCCTATCACTATCGAGCAACCAAACATGCCCCCAAAGCCCCAAACAAGAATTGTATGTTTCCTGACCACAGCAACTTTCCACAGCATCTTTATAGTAAGGATTAGCAGAGGTTTCAGGCAGAGTCCCCACAATGAATAAGTCGTTATACAAAATTACCATGCAATCACCAACCTTGTTTCTGTCACCAAGTCCGTATGTTCCAACTACCAGTCCTTTTTTTAAAAAAATAATATTTTTTTTTCCCTCCCAGTCAGTCCTTCCTTCCTTCCAATTTTCACATTCCAGTCACTAGTTAGGGAGCTGTGGTAGCTTCTTGTTCAGTGCTGTCGAGTTGACTACAACTCATAGCAACCCTATGAACAAGAGATCTGCACCCTGTCCAATCCTGCACCATCCTTATCCTCCACACATTTGAGTCCACTGCCCCAGACAATCCATCTCACTGGTCTTCCTCTCCTTCACCAACTCCCCACCTTTCCAAGCATGATGGCCCTTTCCAAGGAATAACCTCTCCTAACAATATGTCCAAACTATGTAAGATGTAACTTCACCATCTTTGCCTCTAAGACCATTCTAATTGCACTTTCTCCAAGACATATCTATTTGTTCTTGTGGCTATCCATAAGACATTCAGATTCAGCATTCTTCTCCAACAATACACTTCAAATTGCATCAATTATTCTGTCTTATTTATTCACTATCCAGCTCTCACATACACAGGAAACTGGAAAGACTGTGGTTTACATCAGGGGCACCTTAGTCTTTAAACTGACATCACTGCTCTTTAGGACTTTGGAGAGGTCACAGACAGCTGACTTTCCCAGTGGCTATACATCTCCTAATCTCCTGACTGATGGTACCAAGAGTGCTGATGGTGGATTCAAGCAAGATAAAATCATTCACAATTTCAATCTTTTCTCCATATATCATGCTTACTGGCCCAGTAGTGAGGATTTCTGTCATCTTAATGTTGAGATGCAATCCATATTAAATATTGGTGTCCTTGATCCTCTACAGCAAAAGCAGCAAGTCCTTCACTTTCTGCAATAAATGTTCTGGTGGCTTAGTGCTAAGGAATTGCAATGCCAACCCAAAGGCACACAGTTTGAATCTACCAACTCCTCCCCTGAAATTTACTGCCTCTGAAAATGCACTGGCAGTGCAGCTTGATGGTACATAACAACAAAAATCACCTATTATTATTAATGTGTCTTGATTATACATTCAATCAATTTTAGACTGCAAAAGTCCTTCATTTCTACCTTTGCCTATGAAGGTTAGTGCATATATCTGAATAATAGTTGTATTAACAGGCCTTCCTTGTACGCATATGAACAGTATCTTGTTACTCAGAGCACTATACTTCAAGACAGATCTTGAAATGTTCTTTTTTTGGCTATGAATGTAATATTCCTCCTCCATTTATCAATCCCAGCATAATAAATCACATGATGTCTGATTCAAAATGTCCAGTCCGTCTCAGTTCACTAATGTCTAAGATGTTGATCTATATGCATTCCATTAAATTTTTGTCAACTTCAGTTTTCCTAGATCCGTACTTCTTGCATTCCATGTCCCAATTATTAGTGAATACTTGTTTATTTAATGTTTTCTAATCTGAGGGGCTCTACTTCTGGTACGATATCTAATGATGCTCATCTGTTATTCATTGACGTTTTTGAAGGCTTATTAATTTTGTGGATGGTGAATCCTGAGTCTTAGTCTGGAAGCTCCACAAAACCTGTCCAGCACAGGTGACTCTGCTGTTATTTGAAACATTCATTGGTGGCAAAGCTTCCAGCACCACAGCAACCTGTAAGTCACTCCAGTACAGCAAACTGACAGCTAAGTGCTGTACTCAGAAAAAGAAACAAACAAAAAAATATACATACACAAACTATTAAATAAGCAGGAATACTCAACTCGCAGCCCCTCCCAGAGAAAACAGAAAGTGGGGAAAATTAATGAAAAAACTCACTATCAAATGAGTTGTGAGATGGCATTAAGGATATCCTCCAAAAAAGTAAAAAATATCATTAGAAATATAAAGGAGAAAACATAAGGTATATGAACTTTGTAAGCAATCCAATAGAAAATAAAAATTTTTAAACAACAACAACAAAAAGACCAAAATAGACACCAGAAGAGACTGTGATTGAACTGCTGCCTATGAACTACAGTGGCAGAGAGAGGAGTACTGAATTTCCCAAGGGCTTCCAAAAAACCAAACAAGTCTGTTTTGGAGAAAGTACGACTAAGGTGGTCCTAAGAAGCAAAGATGGCTGAAATTTCATCTCACATACTTTGGGCATGATGTCAGGAGGGGCCAGTTCTTGGAAAAAAACACCACACTAGGAAAGGTGTTGGGTGAGATAAAGACGACGACCTTCAACAAAATGGCCTGACACAGTGGCTCATGTGTATCAGAAATAGTGAGGCTGGCACCAAGCAGGGCAGGGTTAAAATCTGTTTTTCAAGGGTTACTAGGAATCATAGTCAACTTGATGGCACCTAACAACAGGCAAGGAAGAGTTGTCTGGGTAGTAAGAGTTCTCCCTGGGCTTGTCATGAGGATTAGTGGTTCTCATAAAACTAGTCAAACACATTATCAAAGGGTTCACAATGACTATTCTAGGAAGGAAATCAAAAGATACCTTTGTGATGGAAAAATCCAGCCTGACATAGATGATGACGGTGAAGAACAAGATGTAGAAAGCAGCCACCACCAACAGTGGCTCCTGCAGCATGAGGATCTTGTTGAATGTGTAGTGAACCTGAGAGGGAAATCAGAAGACAGGCATTTACAGATCTGTGTGGGCAGAGCAATCTGGGGATATAAGGTGCCTTACCAGGCCTAGACATTTGTTTCGGTCCAACCACAGAATCTCCTTTCTAGTACCTGTTACCGCATCCCCACGCCCAGAAGTAACTGTAGGTTCCTATCACTCCTCACTGTAACAATAAAAGAAGGGTCCATCCTGGGCCCCCGGCCTCCATTCTCTGGGGAGTGAGACACAGAAGACAGAACAGATGAGCTACTTGCCACAATGTCCTGAATGTGCTGTTCTACCAAATTTTTCTTGTACGCAACAATCACAGGACGACCAAATGTGTCTAGGTAGGTATAATGCAGCTCATCCGGGGTCCGGCTGATTTCATAGGGACTATCAATCTGGATGTTCCTGGAAGCAGACAAAAACCAAAGTATTAGTTAACTGGCACTGGCACATTCCATGGGAGGTTGAAGAATCCAAAGATTAAGGAAGACCTTCAAGGTGACTATGTTCTTGTTCCTCAAATGAAACCTTTTGTCAGCAGGGAGCAACTACCCCGAGACAGGTGATCCAAAGCCTGAGGACGAGAGCATTCTCCTACTGAGACCACCCTGCTTCCCTACAACCTCTCCTCAGAAGAGCTCAAAAGGTCTGGTTCTGTGCCATGGAGTTACATACCTATGCACTTTCTTCCACATAACCTTGAAAACTTAAAGAAGTCCTTCTTGAGGAAGAAATGTTCTTCCTCAGCACACAACCAGTCGACATGTACTTTTTATCTGTCTAGATTCCTCTTCCTTTCTCCTAATAAAGAGCAAACTCCAATTCTACTTCAATGAACTACCTACACCACATCGAAGTCCTCCAAAGGAAGGACAATCAAAGCACCTCTCCTTCAGGTGATCAGAGTTAGCAGGTGGCCCAAAAGAAGCTAAGGAGACACTTCCTTTTTAAAACCAATCTAGAACAAAAAGTCAAAAGGACGGAAAATAAGCAGTGCTCACTCATCCCAAGAGTAGGTACCCCAGGAGCACTGCCCATCAGTTTTGCCACCTAGAGTCCTGGACATGCTCTGGTTCTAACCTTTCCTAAGCCATACTCGTCAACTTAGGCTAAGAATTTTATGTCTCTTATCTTTACAATTTGGAAGTAGGAAGTGCTAGTGGCAAGAAGTTGTACTGACAACCCAAAGGCAGGCAGTTCAAATCAACCAGCTGCTCTGCAGAAGGAATATGGGAAATCTCCTCTTGTGCAATTTACTAACCCACTGAGAGACTTAACTATGAGTTAGTTCTAACTCAATAGCACACAACAACTTCATCTTTCCAATATATACGCTTTTGCTTAAATTAGCCAACGACAGTCCTATTTGTAACCATGGATCTCTAAAGAATGACCCAACAAAAACAATATCCATTGTCCTTTCTCAAATACTGCATAAGACCATTATTGTAAAAATAGAAGGATAACTAGTAAAACATGTATGGGGACCCAAAGGAGAAAAGGATGGGAGCAGAGCAGTGAAGACAGGCAGAGGCAAAACCACAAGGTTGCACAATTTTGTGGGTGGAGAAGAAGATGAAAGAAATGGGAAGGATCCAGTAGAGATCCTGAAAAGACAGAGTGATGATGGGCAAGGTCCAAAGGTGATTAATTTTATAAAACAATGCATGAGAATGATTGTATGAAACACAATGTATACAAATTTTACAAGCAAACTTATATAATTTTTTTTTAAATTCCAAACAATCCATTTTCCTTTTTAATTTTACATTCTGCCCTGTTATATCACACATTCCAGCAGATTCACGACACCATTCTGGGCTAAAGAGAGGATTTTGGATGCTGCCCCATCTGCAACAAAAGGTTTCATAAGTAAATGCAGTACTTTCATTTGAATCCTCCTTTGCATGCTCCCATAGGATTCTGAGTCAAAATTATGATTTGAGCACCTCATCTGTGTCCCCTGAGCACAGCCTCCCCCTGGTGTGGGGAAAATGAGGTACAGAGGAAAAAGAGCAGTCACACTTACTTGGCCCCTTCAGGCAAGATGATCTTCACTGTTAGGGAATCTATCACTTGCTCATCAAACACGTGATCCACAAACCTCATCTTCAGTGCATACTGGTCACCTGAGGATCAAGCAATCAGATAAAGGAAGGTGAAAAACAAAGTCAACAGGACAGGAGGTAGAGAGAAACACAGTGTTAGCAGTGGCTGCTTCTTAAATAGTGGACAGTAAGCAGATTCTAGGGAGATGAAGCAGTGGGAGTAGATGCCTCCTGACTCTTCCCTAACCCCGAATAAAAAGGTAGAGGAAAACTATGAGAAGAATTAAAATCTCAAGGGCTATATTTACAACAGAACAACTATCTACATAGGGGGAGAAAGGGAGAGGTAAGATACCAACAAGCATAAGTCTGCACATTATCCATACTGAAGAAAGCAAAAGGAAATAGAGGGTGTCAGATGAACCAACAAACAGGAGAACCTCAAACTGACAAGTATTCACGAGCAAGCTTAGCAAGTCATTTGAGAAAAGTAGCTGAAAATCAGAGGGGTCTCCTCCTCTCTCTCAGGAGGAGAATAAAATGAAGATCTATGATTCTAAAGCAGTCTAGACACTAAAAACTTTGAAAGATCCACCAGCACTGCCCTCTGGAATAGCACCTTCAAGGGTAAGCTGCTGAAGCAGAATAAAAACTGAGAACTGGGGCAAAACTGAGCCACAGAAATAGAGTAGGAACAACTCAGAGAGATTTGTTGTGTATCGAGGTTGTATCCTTTCTCCCTATCTAATTTGTGTGCAGAACAAATCATTTAAAAAGCTGAACTCTATGAAGAATTTTGCATCAGAATTGGAGGAAGATTCGTCAACAACCTGCATTATGCATATGAAACTTGGCTTCCTGAAAGTGAGGAGGCAATGCTTGCTGCAGAGGACCAAAGACTACAGTGTTCAGTGGGTAAGCTCAGTGGTACAGCATCTGACTCAAGATTACAGCCTTTGATATGGTTTGCATCTCAACATCAAGAAGACAAAAATCCTCACCAATGAACTGGTAAGTAACATGATAAAGACTGCAGTCAACGATTTCATCTTATTTGGATCCACAATCAACTCTCTGTACCAGCAGTCAGGAGATCAGGAGATGTATTCCACTGGGAAAGTGTGTTATCAGGGACCTCTCCAAATTACTGAGAAATAATGGTATTAGTCTGAAAAGTAAGCCTGATGCAAAAGATGATCTTTTGAGTTACTTGCTATGCAAACGTTGGACAATGAATAAGGATGACAGAAGAAGAGTCAATGTCTTTGAATTAGGATGGTGGTGAAAAGTGATGGATGAATGAATGAAGAGTGATGGAAAACCAAAACAACAAATATATCCTGGTATAGCAAAGATGCTGCTTGGAGGCAAAGATAATAAAATTAGTCTGGCATGCTTTGGACACATTGTTGGGATGGGACAGTCCTTGGAAAAGGAAAGATGGAAAGACCTTTTCCCAAAGAAGGGAATGATCTTCAACGAGATGGAATGACACAGTGACTGTAATGGTGGGCTTCAGTATGTCACACATGGTCAGAATGGCACAGGACAGGGCAGGGTTCATGGTCACAGTCACTGAGTGACAGTGAAGTAGATAGCACTTAACAACAGCAATGGGGAAATCTAAGTTTCAAGCTGGGTAGTAAAATGAACACAGTCCAGTAAATATTTAAATCCGTTAAGTATTCAACTATTTTTAAAATTTGATCATCTATAAATAAAAGGAAAAGAATTAAACCTTTATCATGCCTTTCCTACACCAACAGCGGATGAGGTGAGATGTCTCCTTATAAACTCTCCTTAATAAGTAAGAGAATACAAAATTAGAACACTAGTATGGAAAAAAAAATAAAAAAATTTAAAAAAAAAAATACTAGTTTGTGCAGTACCCCAAAGAGGAACCGCAAATCAATTGGTGTTTTAAAAACAAAATTAATTGGTGTTCACATCATATGAAAGATAACTAAACACTGCATGCCTTCCAATCACAGCACCACACATCATCATCTCAAATCCTGTCAAAGGATCAAACAATGTTGGAAACATCTCCACAATCATGTGTTAATTTGCAAGAATTCAGGTACATGCTGAACTGCACCTCAAGCAATCAGCAAAATCTGGACTGCAAATTACTCTACAAATGTACCAAATTCTTTAATGGATACATCACAAAGAAAATGGAAGAGGAATATAGATTAATAGAGACTGAAAGACAAAATGCTAGAAAAAGGCAAACTTAAGATCTAGAGATACCTATCTGTGTAATGAAAGAATGAAGAAACTCAAAGACATGGTTACTGAAAGTCAAGATGTCATTATTTTTGAAAAGGGGAGATGTACATGAAAAATTTTTTTCAGCCTGACTTAGTCCAGGTGGCTTCTAGGCTTCCAATTCCTAACTTAATTAATGGCTACAAGTATGCCTGACTCTTAATAATTTACTGAGCTATCAATCTGTTTTGTGTGGTTTTCTGCATTTCATAATACTGTAGTTTTATAATATTTTTCAATTAAAAAAGACTAAATCAGTATCTCAAACTAAAAACAACTTAAAAGAATTTAAGCCATTTAATCTGATGATACATATGGGAATGATTTCTGTTCTACTGCTTTAATTAATTATATGCTTGTATTAATTGTACAATGACTGGCACCCACACCTGAAAAGTTGTTCCTGATATCCCAGCCTTCCTAAAAATGACTTTTGAATAATCTCTGCCCATCTAGAATGTTTCTATCAAAGACTGACCTAAATTATACAGGTACTCATAGCTCGGAAGGTTGTAGCCAACAATGTAATGAGTTTTCCAGCCACCAAAGAGAGGGAAGCGAGGTCGGATTTCCATCTCCACTGAGTCATCCAAAATGAGGAGGTGGCTAGTGGAAACATTGCCAATCTCATCTCGGTAATAAACATCCTGGGCAGCAGCAGGGAGGATGGTCTGCAAAAGAGTGAACAAACTCTTCTCAGGACTCCAGGAACCTAATCTGAAACAAATTATCCCAAACACAGAAAAGACTTCCCACAGGAAAACCTTCATCATGGCGTTCTTTTAAGGAAATGGCATTTCTCTAATGGTACTTATTGTATCTTCCAAATCTTCATGTACATTCTTATTGGAGGGACCTATTCTTATTCTCTGTTTACGGAGTGAGTCGATCTATGAGTATGCAGAAAATGTTTTTAAGATTGCATTTCTAAAACAAGAAAGATACAAAATTACATCTAAAGTGTCATTAAATGTTTTGAGGCATTATAATAGAGAAAGTATTAAAGTCAGTAAACCACTATTGGGGTGATAATAATATAGATATATTTTACCTTCCCATTACTCAAATTCTCTTTAAAGTACAAAACCTACTTTTATAAACAGAGCAATTATTTCTTTTCAAGACTCTCTATTGGTTTCTAACACTCTGCCACCTAGGCTTAGCCATATTCAGCTAAATGAGAGGAAGTGCATATGTGTTAATCTCTCATAACGTCCAAGCTGAACCCTCCATACCTTAAACGAACGGATGGAGGATATCCCACTATCTGGCTGTCTCTGGTAATCATAGCGTGAAAAGGGCCCTTTAAGCACAGCACCTGTGTGCTTCAAGTCCACATTTTCTTCTACAGCAATGTTACCCCAATGAGAAACTTCAATGACACGTGTCATGCTGGTGATGGTCAAGAAAGGACTATTGTTCTCATAGTGCACTTTAAAAGTATCCTAGAACACAAGAAAACAAGTAGTTCAAAGTTTTAATATCAGAGGACTCAATAGCAATTAGTTTAAATCAAACTGGAAAGAGACTACACATGAGCAACAGAATAATTAAAGTAGATTGCATCTAATGCATGCAACGTTTTTAAATGATCTTTACTACAAAATTCTGAAGATATAAAGAAATGTTCAAGGAACTATTTGGAAAAATAGAATACATAAAATTGTTTAAGTTTATGAATTAGAAAGCTCTGGTGGCTAGCAGCTGTACTGCAATCCTGAAAACATGCAGTTTGAATCCACTAGCTGATCCACAGGTGAAGGACGGGCAATCTCAACCGGTTCAATTAAATGCTTCTGAACCCTTCATCATCATTGGGTCAGTTCCCACTCGCTGGTACACAACAAGCAAAAATTTCTTTTCTATTTAAAAACAAAACCGATATATTCTGCTATCTCTATTAACAACTATTTAAGGAAATTAAATGAAATACACAAAAACGTCAACACAGAAAAGCAGCAAAATTATATACTGTTTCTTTTACTTTCACTTGGATGTTTTGACTTTCCTAATATCTGCAATGAACCACCACTGTCTTTTATATATATTTCAACAACTTTAAGAGAAAGTAAAAATTTTAAACTAAGTTTTTCTAAAGTACTCAAGAGCAACGGTGTGTCTCTAGAGACTAAGGTGCACCTGATACAGGCCATGGTTTTTGCAATCACTTGTTATGCATCAGAGA